AAAGATTCAAATTTAAAGATAGTAGGAGAGGGAGAAGGGAATCTTTGGCACTAGAGGGATCGCACACGATCTATCTACACTTGCAACAGATTTAAGCTGATCGGCAAATAGCCAGGGTTGGATGCGTATTGAACCAGCAAGTTGGGAGTACCATACATAAAAATATTGAAAACAATAAATCAGTTTTAAAAATAGCATATCCCTACTGTTGGTTTATTTTATTTCTGCTAAAGGTGACATTTTGTATTAGGAACTGCAATAAGTATCTAGTCTGCTGCTATGGAAAGAAGCAGAGGTAAAATACGAAATTATACTAATAAATCATTAAGAAATAATCAGTTTTTGTTCTCTTTATTTTACATACGAACTTTTGAACTAACAGTAGCGATATTCTCTGATCCTATTTTAGCTTGATAGAATTATTAGAGCTATAAGAATTTTAAAAGACGCGTTGTTCAGCTTGGAATTTGATAATATTAATGTTGTAGAATTTTCTTTTCTCAAAACTCCGTTAAATCCATGTTTTTTTTTGCATGAATTTTAATCTACTGAGAATTTGTACTCTTTGATTGCTAATTAATACATACATACTTATACCATCAACGAATATTACCACATTCAAACCATAGGATGATCGAAGTAATCTTAAATAATTAATTAATCATTTAGAGATTTTAGTAAAAATTTAAGAAAACTCTTAGTAGGCCATAGTTAAAAAAAAATTAAAACAAAGCTTTGAGTATCTAAAATAGTATAAATAGTACCTATATGTGTAAAATAGTGAATAAATAAAGGTTGATTTTTCATCAAGAAAGGTATCATTAGGACTGAAACACCTGCGATCAAATAAATGAATTAGGATGTTCCGTTCTCACCAAGAGCGCTAGAAAGCTTCAGTGATGTTTATACGAGTGCATAGGCTAATAAATATTTGTTAAAAATTTTGTTTATTGAAATTCACAACTATATTAAAACTAAAAAATACTCATTGGTAGAACTCAATAACAGTTTTAAATTAGGATGTTATCTTCTATTCGGACGCCTACATGAAATATTAGGAATCAAGGAGGAAGCAAGCTTATAAACTAGTGGGTTAGGACTGGCCTAGAGATTATTATGGAAAAATAATTATTTGAACTGGGCTAAATTGGTAATATATGGAACTTTAAGACCTCTTTATTTTAACTTGGAGATGGGTGGCCGAGTGGCTAACGCAACTTGATAATATTAACTGACAGTTAACATAGTTTTTAACTCTGTCCTTAATTCTTCGCAGTCATAATTTTTATTATTCAATGTTGTTCCTGAACATTTTCAAAAATGTTAAACTTAAGCTGAAGGCATACAGTTCCTCTGGTTCACAAACAACACCTGCGGATGTACGGAGGGCGGGCTTTCAGGAAGAACACTTCGTTCCCACCCCCCTCAAAATAGCAAAATGTAATCATGTTTATGGTAAAACATTGTTTTTAAAAGCATTATTGTTTGTGTAATTACATTTAATAGGAGTTCAAGAATCACTTAAACACCATTTCATATAGGTAACTAGTATCTTTCTTTTTTTTCCAAAGTAATTATCGTTATAAAAAAAAAAGCTTTCGGGCTAAATCCCCCCCAAAATTAAATCCTGGATCCTCTAGTGATAAACACTATGGACTACGGTCTTCGTCTTCAGGATGACCACTGTTTTTCTTTCGTATATCAACTGCCCGTTGCCCTTCCAGGTACTAATTGTATTTTAAAGAGTTTCATATATTTACGGCGAATGTGCAAGTATGAACTTTTTACAATATAAGTATCGTGAATATTACAATAAATACACTGAATAAGGCCAAGACACAGATTTAAAATACTCTCTCCTATCTGACAAACCAACTGTACCATCCAGATGTAGATATCATTCGTTTATCAGTTCCAGTTTGAGCATCAATAAAACTACAGTGAACTAAAATACTAAAAAAAAATGTATAAAAAAGGAAAGAACCTTTTAATTAACAGAAGAAAAATAATTTCATTTTTTGGTCTAAAATATTCGTGAAGGAATTAGTTTAAAAAAAATATATAAACAAAGGAAAAAATAAATATTATATGGAAGAACTGCATTATTATTAAAGTTTCCTAATTCGATCAGAACTCAGAACTCTGAGTTCGTGAGGAGGAGGGGGGAGAAAGGTGAATGGGACGGTTCGCCCCAACAGTTTCTTTTTTAATTAAACAATAATTTCACTGTAAAAATATTACAAAATGAGTTCTTTGATTAGATAAAAACTTAATTTTTTTTTTAGCACTTCAGATAGACAAATACAATAGACAATACGGGGACTTCCAAAATTGAAAATTTCGATTTTGAATCTCAGTCACATTCCATAAAAGAAAAGCAAAAGAAACCTTCTACAACCTCTTTATGCAACTTAATCTTTTCACTACATGGTTTTATAAAAATGTTACAAAATAAATTATTTGATTTTATAAAGTTGTTTTTTGTTTTAGCTGTAGTTTTTTCTTTGTAGGTTCATTTAATTATTCTTATTAGTATTTATCAACTAAGGAATGACAATTCATTTACATCGAACTATAGATGGTGAATATTTCATGTTACTATAGAGACTTGATAAACTTAAGTAAATAAACTTAGTCTAATACAGAGAGTTTAATAGCCGCCCACACCATTAACTCTGGTAGGGTTTAAAACCTACAGGCCTTTCGGTAGACGGTCTGTTTATGGGTACAATCCTGTAGGGATTGTACTCATAAGCAGGGGGTACAGTCCTAGGATGAAGCAAAGGGAGTCAAGCCTGGATAGTTCCTAGGAGATGGTGGTCCAGAGGAGAACGAAGCAAGTTGTTAGACGAGGGAGGTCAGAAATGATTCTGGAAGGAAGTCGGACACGATCTAGAGGACATCATCGAAGCAGATCATTCCACCCTCAACCAGTTACACCAAAGACTAAGTCATAACATTCATTTAGAAATTACCTTGTAAACTTGCGTTCGCAAACAGTAACTGATTAATTTAATCAGCACTATTGAAATATCGCATTCTTCAGTAAAGATTTCCATATGTTTTAAGAATGGTTCAGAATACCAATATATTACTTATTGATTAAATCTTGATTTGTTTACAATTTTCCTTGCATGCCACCATTTAGATATGTAGTTACAAATAGTGAATTTTAAGCATGATACCGTTGGAAAAAAAATCCGATGGAAATTAAACTCCTGGGTAGGAGTACTACATTAGAGGGTCAGTGATACATAGCCATAAAATACATAATTGATATAGTTTTAAGTAATCGGTTCCGTTCTAAAACTGATATAATACAAATAGAAATATTAAATACATTAAATAGAAATAAATGCGCTTTTCTGGAATCCCCTTAGAAAAGCTGTAAGCTAGAAACTACCAATGTATTTGATTTGTTTTAGGAAAAGCCTCATTTTATATTTATATTCAATCAGCTAATTATTCAACCGGACATTAGAAACAATAAACATGATGAAATAATACTATATTTATATTCTGAATATAAGTTTCTTAATTTACTATATATTTTTTTCTGTTAAGGAACTTCCAAAATAAACTCTCTCCCGTCCATAATGAACTCCTCACCCAGAAGATTTTCTTTTAGGAGATTCAATCAGCTCTGGACCCCAAAATTTCTATTCACGCCACTATATCAACAAACCATTGGTACGTGCAATATAATCCTAATTATCATACTTTTTTTAAGCCGGGGTTGTCAAACGGCCTAATGCGTGTGCACAATTGTTAACCTGATAAACTTAAGATAACATGATAAAATAATTGCGAATTAGTGTCCTAGTGGCCCTCAGAGATCAATCCTCTGTCCTCTCCCCTGGCCCCGAGAAATACTCCTTATAGCCGAAAATGCGAGGAAAGAGAGGGAAAAAAAACCTGTCATATTTCAAATTAATATCATTAAAATGATTTCATTGTTCACCTAATTGCATATTGTGGAATCGAAAGGATGCAGCAATTATTTCATAAATAGATTAACTTTTTTGTTAAGTTTTCCCTTTTGATTGTTAAATGACCTGTTTAGAAAAAGAATAGTTGTACTTAATAAAAAAATATTTTTTGAATGGTCCCTATACATTTTCAGAAAATATTATAAATCTGAAATAAAACTGTAAATTATAACTGCTGGTTGCAATTCAGTCTGCTTATTTCTCATCACAAAAATCTATAAAACCAATATTTTGAATGGAATCTGTAATATATTATTAACTAAATGTGTTGTTGGAATTTCGAAGGAAAATGAGTTTTATTCACTGAAGCCAAAAAAAAAAAAAAAAAAAAAAACTATAAAACTAGAAACATATCTAAACAGATGGGTTGTGAAATAAACTGGGTTGAATTTGGAATATAATCAAATCATAATAATCGTTACTCGAAATTGAAATACCTATTTCAAAAGAAAAATCACTAACCCTAGTAAAATATACAATCTATTTAGTGTTTATATGAACAAATTCATTATCATATTCTTATAAATTTTTAATCATCACAATGTTTATTAAGTGCTACCTACATACATAGGCCTTATATGAAAGAGTTTTAAATGTATCTAGTTATATTTCTATCATAATCTCTCTGGTTGATATAAGTTAAAAAAAAATATATATATATTAATATACTCGTTTCTCTAAATTAGCGGCTATGGTTGTTAAATATATTTGAATTTTAATACTCTAGACGCTAATTTGTACCGAAACTAAATAAATTTTAACTTTTCTAAGGACACTTCATCTTAAACACGGGAGTTGAAGACTTAAGTTTAAAGTATTTTTTTACGAAAGGAAAATATTTTATTTCTATAGTTAAAATATGTTTTTGTTGGAATAAAAACAACTTACTACATTTTATTTACTAAACTTATTTGTCTATTTTAATGTTTAAAAATTTTCTCATGGAACTTAACCACTACGTTTACGGCAGATTATATTTTCGTGACATTTTATTTGTATATAATTACTCACTCTTTCGACTCGGAGGATGTTTCGGTGTGTTGACATTGCTGTCCGCCCGTGGCTGCGGCGTTGGACACTCTGAATCGAATTAGCCGCCTCTCGGGGCAGTTTTGCCAACTCTGCTTGACGGAATTGCCCGCGAGTCTGATTCCCTCCGTCGGGAAATAAGAAATCTATTGCAGATGGCTGCCGATTACATGTTTAGAAATTTTGTAATTGTCGAAAAGTGCTTAGAACGGTATGACTATGGAACGAATTCTTTAACACGTGACACAAAAATATTTAATTGGTATAAACTTAATAAATACATAATACCCCTTGATATCATGTTTATTTAGTTTTATGTAAAGAAGTAATAGACTTGAGATGAGCGATAGACGATAGTTATTCACTATCGATATTTCGATACTATCGATGTCAGTAATTTCTAGTGTTGCCCAAAATCCGTCTTAGGCTGCCTAACTATTGCAAGACCAAGACCAAGAATGTTAAAAAAAATCGATTTTTTAAAATCAAAATTAAGGCAAAATAGTTACTAATACTCGACAATTTTATTACTATATGTTAATAATTGGTATAACCAATATACTTTTGGATTTAAATCCTCTAATTTTCCATTCAGGCTTAGTTAGGTTTCTCCTATCTAAAAAATTACAGTAATATCTCTATAGTAATAAGCTAACAAGTAGCTGCAAGACTGTTGTGAGACTCTTGCGCAAGACCAAGACCACGACCAAGACTCGTCTCGGTCTCGCATTTGGGCAACACTAGTAATTTCTCGCCACAGACTTAAAAATGATTTATTTTACCTTTATTATTTACTTTAAAATGCTGTAAAAACTTCAACAAAATGATTAGTTTTAAACCAAGATAGGTTTAACTCGGCAAAAGTAGTGTTCGTCAAAATGACTAAGTTTGATCCAATTAGTTTTCCGGTATTTCTTAATTCTGCCAATATTTCCTTTCAATAGTGCTATCTCCACCTATTTGACAAGTGACAAAAGCTCTCAAAACAGATGAGTCTGTTTTTATTATTTAGTTGAGGCAACGTCAACTAAATGACGAAGTCATACTGTTTTATGTCAATTATCATAGTCGTAGTGGAGAACTCTACCGTTTAAAGTAATCATTATTTGTCTTACAGATACAGTAACTTTTTTTTTGTTTATTTACTGTTTCATTATAGCCGCCGAAAAAAAAAAAATTAAAAAAATTTATGATGCACCCGTACCTTTCCTTTGTCTTGAACTACCTAATAAGAACGGCGTAATAATAGGGAAAATGATTTTGAGTGGAGCACAAACCTCCCAATTGCATTGATGGTGGCCTAAGACATTCGGTACCCTCGGAGAATGACGTCACCCCTCCCAAAACAAATTCATTTTTTAAGCTGTTTTGTAATACATTTCTGTAATACATTTGCTTTATTGGTAGGCTAAAATTAATTATTTAATACGTTTTGTATTCTTTTTTTAATATTTAACCAGTGGTGAGCGACCCAAAAGATCAACGAGCGTTCTGTGGCCATTGCTCGGTTGCCCCACCTTAAGGGCGCCACTGCCCAGCGTCAACATTGTTTACGTACAACACAAACGTGTTTGAGCAAATTTATTATTTCAAATAGTTTTTTTACTGAGATGCATTTAATTACTTATGTTTATTTTGTTTTTAATATTGTATTAAAAATATAAAAAAATGTAAATACATTTTGGCAAATTGACTTCTATAATTACGTTGTTATAATTATTTTTGTCGTTGTTTCGATTTATTTAACTAAATATATCACAAAATGATTAATAAATATTTCTATAAGATTTTTCAGGTCAGAATAACGAAAACAATAATCCTATATAACTAAGCTACACGAATCCTAACGAATCCTATATAACTAAGCTACACTATATGTTAAAGAGATTATTGGCTACCATCGACTACTCTCTCGTCTCGTTTGTCAGTATTTTTTAAATCTTGAAATCTTTGAAAAATTCTACGCAAGTTTTTGTTTAGAAACAGGTACCCGAACCGGCCATTTATTTTTATTTATATATATTTTGGGCTCTTCAAGATTTAATGGAAGAAAAGATAACAGGGGCAATAAAAATAAAGATTAATGATATTAATAATAAAAGCTAAAAAATACATTTTTAAATAATAAAAATTAATACTAATAGAGGCGAAGTTAAAGAATACAGTTTAAACATTAGAAAGTACAAGCACCATTAAAATTAAACATTAAAGATTAGAGAAAGATAAGTTAACAGTTAATAAGGATATTTAAATAAAAGGTATAATGATTTCAGGAATATAATCTAAAAATACAGTTTAAAAAACAAAATTAATATTAAAAGAAGAAAAGTTAGGAAGTACAATTTAAATATTAAAAATTACAAGAAGAAAAATTGAAAAACCATTATAGTTAAAAATTATGATTAAAAGAAAAAAAATTAACAGGTATATTTAGAATTTAAAGAGGAACCTACAAACTTAAAAAACTTAACATTTACAATTACAAGGTGTGATTAAATTTTGTTAAATATTTTGATTTCCTTAAGGAACAATATTAAGTTTTTAATAGCATTGGGGTCCTTTTGGAGTGATTCTTCAAGGCTATTTCTGAGGTGTTGATCCCTAGAAGATTGGAATGCATAACATTCGGTTAGGATATGGTTCACTGTAAGAGGTAGCCCGCAGGAAAGACATTGAGTAGGAGAGTCTTTCCTCATTAAGTACTCGTGAGTAAGCCTAGTGTGTCCGATCCTTAGCCGGGTCAGTACCACTTCTTCCCTTCTGGTCAGTAGGATATTTGAACCGGCCATTAATGGATTGTTAAAGCATAAAACTTAAAACTTAAGGTCGAGTTATAGCAATTTTAATGCCTCAACCAATTACAAATTGATTCAATATTTCTGTATAGAGTTGGATCATAACACAAGGAAATTAAACATTACAGGTAACGACTAGAACTTCATTCGAAAGCTTCCTACTACATAATAAATAATCAAGTCCAGAAATTAAAAGATCAGAGTTTCATCATGAAAATATTGTTTTCAAATTCTTATAACTTTTGATCCATTTTTATCTAATTTACACACAGAAACTAAAATCACAAAAGTGTCTGCTAACACCCTAGCACAGGTCATGCGTTAAAAGAAATTATAATTTTTCTATTATAAGAAGAAGTCAATAAGAAGGAATAAAGTTCCTATTTTATTTTAAAATGCGTATCTAAATATTTTGTTTATTAAACAAAACATAGATAGATATCTGTTACTATTCTAACAAAATTTAATCTGTTATGTTATTAACTCCGAGTATGTGTAAAATATATACATCAATAACATTACATTGTTATTCCTATTATAAACCTTATTTCTGTTTTATGAAAAAAAATAATAGGAATAAGGATACAGGGCCGAATCCGGAAATTGTCTTCAGAGGAAAACACAAAAAAAAACTTTCTGTTAGGTTCTCTATTCGATTGATATTATATCGCTTAATATAAACAATAAGACAATTTATTTAAAATGATAATTATATTAATTACATAGATTACTTATGTATTACAATGAGTAATACGATTAAACTGTTTCTCCATATCACACAATATTGTTTCGTGTTTTCATCTAGAGATAGATTTCAAAATTTAAAATAATTACTTATTTCATTATGAAACAAATCATGTTTTGTTTAAAATAACAAAAAGGAGGTTATAAAAGAAAATTTCCCCATTCTTTGGGGTGGGGAAGGTACGCCACTTCCTTTCTGGATTAAAAAATGTAAGAGTATGATTCTATAAGCATAATTTAGTACGTTTCCCAACAAACCATCACATTTATTATTATTAATTACATACATTGATCTTACCTTCTTCTCCCAACGAAAGGCATATTTCTTCAAACTAAATCGGACACTGCATCAAAGTCCCATTGCAGAGTTTGACAGTAGATAGTATAATTGTAAACAAATATTTTTGTCATCATACAGCTTAATCTGTTTATTTAGGATTGTGTATATAACCACGCTTATTGTTTCAGACTTATACTTATGTATACATTAACGTAATAGCTGTTGCATGCGACTTAAATAGTCTTCAATTTAATGCCATAATAAATTTAGTATGAGTATTCGCCAAGCCTGAAGAAAAGGACAGCCGAGACAGACGCACCTGGGCCTAAAAGGGTTTCGCTGACCAGGTTTTATTTTTATTACATTGCATTAATTATATAATAATTAGGTTATATCTTTACATAATATTTTTATTGTATACATTAAATCGGAAGATTGGTTTTAGCGTTAAATAAATTGAATTTATGAAGGTGGCCCGGAAATATTTGTCCTGTGGTTCTTTGTTTCTCTCCCCTGGTATTCCCATTCGTTTTCATGTCACAGAAAGAATATGAGTTTATATTTTAATTCTGTTAATAGAAGTCGTTCGGATATTAGTATTTTCGTCCGGTGCGGTATAGTATAGATAATATAATAAACAAATTTTTTTTTTGTACTTTTTTCTTCTCTATTTCGTCTTTCTCCTCATTTTATCATGGCTGTATTTGTCAGATGATAAATACTTCTTCTTTTTGGTGGCATTTTTTGTAATAGTCAAATTTGATTCTATCAACAATATGACATTTATTCTCTCCTTACTTCTTGTCCATAAGTCCAATTTAATAAACAACCATTCTTAATTTATAGGGTTATCATTTGTTATTTTTATTTGTATGTTTAGGGAATCCTTCGTCCCTCTCCCTCCATCAGCATATAATAAAATTCTTACGTAAATCATAGAATAAGCTTGGTCAATGATCAAATTCTCAACTCGAGTGAATTAAGATAAATATCATGAGTTTATATTATACAAAATAATGGAGGGACTATTGATTCTCGAGGTTCATCAGACAAGATTGGTGCAATCAATGAAAGCTCTAAACGATGTCAAATAGAGAAAACTCTGTCAGAAAGGAAGAAGTTAAGAGTTGGTAGTACAGTATTGAGCTTAAAAAGTCAGATGTCAGAATTGGTAAAATGCTTCAGTCAGTATTCTGGGTTGGTTGTGGATTGTAGGTTGTAGATAGTTTGTGCTGTTGATGTAATTTTCAAAAGCCTGACTGATGGT